ACACCTGGATTTAGAACTCAAGCCCCACCAGCTCAGGCGGTTAGACCTCAGGTGGGCCATCCTCCACCCCTTCCCCGCAGGGTTCTTAAAAATCAGACTGCCAGAGAAGGCAGAGACTGAAGTATGGGTTTCCTTTAAAGATCACCTGGCTTTTCTTTGGTTAATGCCTAAGAATGTCCCCCAGACCTGGCTCAAAGGCCAGAGCACTGGCATATTTATCAAGTGTCTTCTGGCAGCCTCGGGAGGCAGAACAGGAAAATCAGGCCAGGGCAGGGATCTGGAACCTGCCTGGGAGCGGGCCTGGCATCGCGAGCTCAGAGCTGCCTCGTTCACACTGCTGTCCGATTCCGCCCCAGCCTTGGGAGGTGGGTGTGGATCCGACCGCCGGAGAGTGGGCTTCCGTTCTCCAAGTTGCTTCCCTCTCAAGCCCAGCCCAACTGTGGCTCCTTTGTCCACAATGTTCTGGGCTGGTCTTCTCAGTCTGGAGACCTACCCTGGGAGACACAGGCTAACACAGAGCTACAATGCCCTGCTTTGTGATCTTGACAGAAGGATTTGTCATGAGCTGGGAGATTGGTCCCTGGCAGATCCTGGCATGCGGTGAACAGCTGTGTGTCAGCCACTGTATTCAGAGGACGCCCCATCTGATACAGCAGCTGGGCTCTGAGATTTATCCAAGACGGGCTGCCTCCACTTCGCCTCGGATACCTGTGGCCTTAGATTTGTTAGCACCTTGGATGTAGAGCCCAAGCTAGGGTTGTTCATGCTGGTGATGGTTGCTTGGAGCTGGGGGCTTGAAGCCAGACTATAGTGGAAATGTACTCCAGCTTACAGGAGCAGGGTCCTCACGGTTGTGCACAGCCCTTCTGTAGTCCTACTAACATCAGGGTGACAACATGGCATGTTTAAGGACTGCCCATCCCTGTCTTGGAACACAGGTCTCTAAGCAGCAGTGGCGGCCCCAGCAGCAGCAGCAGCCGCAGCCCTGTGGCTGGGCATCCATCCAGAGAAAATGGAATCAAGTACTTCTTTGATTGTGGGTTTGGGAGTTGTTGCTGTTTTTTTTTTTTTTTTTTTTTTTTTTTTTTTTTTTTTCTCGCTTCTTAATTTTAATTAATTGACACTTTCACACACACACATATAATGCATTTCAGTCATATTCACCACCGCTATTACTTGCACACAGGAGGCAGAGGCAGGCAGAGCTCTGTGAGTTTGAGGCCAGCCTGATCTACATAGTGAGTTCCAGGACAGCCAGGGAGACCCTACCTCAACAAAACAAACAATAAATCACAACTCATCTAATACTTACAATGTCACCTTATTAAAATTTAGAATCTTGATTCATTGCAGGTAGTGTAAAGAAACAAGAAAATAAGCCATAAACTAGAAAAAAAGGTATATATTACATACAAACAATGAAAGCCTAGAATCAATACTACATGGAGTCATGTAATCCTGATGGGGTAGAAAGAGTTGGGAAAAAAAACACAAAAAACAAAACCAAAAGTCCCCCAAAACAAAAATGTGAATGGACATTTTACAGACAGAAGAGCATGGGGGCCAACAGACACAGGAAGGTGGTAAGTAAGCCTGCTGGTACCCAGGAAAGTGCAAACAAGCACTATGAGGCCCACCTCCTGGGTCCAGGCCTAGTGTGTCCTAGGCTGATCCCATCTCCCCCAGCAGGGCCTTTGTCTGGGAAGTCTAGCCTGGGCTCTGCAGAGCCCTTGCCTCTCCTCTGCCCAGAGCCTTCCTCTTCTGTCCCGACCAATAGACCCTCCATGGTCACAGCCCTCTCCAGTCTTCCTCTGCTCTTCTTACAGTCACAACTGGCCAAAGCTGTAAGGATCATTTCAAATATGAAATTCTACTCACTGCTCCAGGCTGAGGTCCATGGGGACCGAGGACAGGCGAACACAGCTGGCAATTAGCATCTTCTAGGTCAAGTCAGCTTCTTGACTTCCCTCAGAGGACTACAGAGCTGTCCTTCCCCTGTGGGCAGCAAGGCACAGTGCAGACAGAGGCTGCCTCAGTGGCTGTGGGCACCTTTCCTCCTGAGCTTACCAGGTTGGACGCCCCTCTTGAGTTGCCTTGAAGCACCTACATGGGCAGCAGAAAGCGTATCCTGAAGCAAGGAAAGCCATGCTTGGAATAACCAGAAACTCTGTGCCATTCTGTGACCAAGAGGATGAGTGCTGAACAGCAGGGCGTGGGAGCCGTTTCCGTCTTGACTCACTTAGGACCTGCTGAACCCTTTGCTCGGTGGCGGCTGAGGGGCCACCCAGCCGCAGTCTGTGTCCTTACCGCACTGCTTTCCTGCTTTGCCTTTCCTCTCCCTACCTTGTGTCCCAACCTGTTTTATAGCAGAGGCTGCTGTCGTCTCCATGACCTTTACACAACGGCGAGCTGGACAGATCTCCATCGGCTCCAGCCAACCGCAGATTTTACTCTGTTCTTGGTCTTCCCTTTGTTTCTGCCTTTCGCTGTGCAAAACCAGCTCTTATTATGCACCAGGCAGCTTGTAGGAAAGGAGGACACGTTAGTGAGCAAGGCTTACAGCCCTGTCCTGCAGATTGTATTCCAGCTGAGGCAAGAAACGAAAGTAATGACAGTATGTAGTCTGGAGGAGATGCCCAAGTGTTTGAATGGCCACAGCTGTGAAAATAACACAATTTACTGAGCACTTACTAATACTGGATACTAATGGAGCAGCTATGTGGCAACTCATTCAAACTGCACTGTGCTGTTCTTCTTAGGAGGTCACAGAAGAGGCGCAGAGACTTCCCATCACCACTGTCTCCTAAGAAATGGATTGCCTGCAAAAGTAAAAGACATCAATCTCCATGCTTAGTTTCCATGTGCTATAGTTTTGAATGTCCCCACCAAAACTCATACTGAAGTCTAATCATTATTTTAGAGTATTAGAGGTGTGGTGGTCTGAACAGGAATGGCCCCCATGGGCTCATAGATTTGAATGCTTGGTCACCAGGGAACGGATTAAAAGGATTAGGAGGTGTGGCCTTGTTGAGGAACTGTGTCTCTGGGGGTGGGTTTTGAGGTCCCTCTCCTCCTGGTGCCCGCAGATTCAAATGTAGAGCTCCCAGTTTCTTCTTCAGCACCGTGTCTGCCATCAAGCTCCCTGCCATGACAACAGACTAAACCTCTGAGACTGTAAGCCAGCCCCAATTAAATACGTTCTTTCATAAGAGTTGCCGCGGTCACGGCGTCTCTTCACAGCAGCCGCGGTCTCTTCGCAGCAGCCGAACAGTGACTGAGACGGGAGGTGACATGGCCATTCCATAGAATGCAGAATGAGTGCTTGGGTCTGAAGTGGCCACTGTCTCCCTTCTCTGCAGAGGTCTTGCCTGTCCTGGGTACACCTATCTGATCTGGTCCTGTCCAAAGATGCCTGGTGGTGGGTCACAGGGACACAGGGCTGCCCTGGACAGACTTGGGGCCTGGCCTAGCAGTCAGGGTCAAAGGTGCTTCTAGAGGCTTCTGGACCAGGATTTCAAACAGGGCCCAAGGCAGATGCTTGAGTACATTTCCAGTACACCCGATGCAGCGTACACACATGTACTTGGAAAGTCTAAATGTCTTGAACTACAGAGAGGCCACCCACAACGACAACCCTTGTACTATGCTTTCCCAGAGTAGAGTCTCCAGCACAGTCCAGTGTTAGTATTTCCATGTTCCTTCTACGCCAATAGTGACAGGAAGCTAAGCTCAGGTGCAGAATGAACTGCTGAAGCTCCATGAGACAGACAATGGTGATTGCTTCTTCCTGTCTTGCAGTGAAAGAATACCAAGACACCAGTAAGCTGTGTGACCCCTGTTGTGTGATTCCTAATTGGTCTTAATAAAAACCCAGAGCCAGATATCAGGGTGAAAGCTGAAAGATCAGAGAAGCAGAGCAAGCCACAGCCATCATCCCTTACCTCATCAACTCCTCAGCCTCAAAGAGCCAGAGTTCATTCTCCTCCCGCCTTATATTCCTTTCTCTGCCCAGCCATATCACTTCCTGTCTCAACCTTCCTAGTGATGGGATTAAAGGTGTGTACTACCACTGCCCAGCTCTGTTTCTCTTTTAGACTGGATTAATCTCATGTAGCCTAGCATGGCCTCGAACTCACAGAAATCCATAAATCTCTGCCTCTGCCTCTTGAGTGCTAGGATTAAAGGTGTGTGACACCACTGCTTGGACTCTATGTTTAATCTAGTAGCTTGTTCTGTCCTCTGATCTTCAGGCAAATTTTATTTGTTCAAAATGTCACTACATTACCCCTTTTTTGTCTAAAATAATAAAAGGTTATAACTAATATAAGAAAAACTATATACAATAAGTACGATAACTATATACAATATAGATATAGTCAAGAATTGTATTAACAATGTCCAGTCCATTAACATTTGGCAAATTCAGAAAAAATACTCCATTATTTGTCCTATTTTACTGAGTCCAAAATGTTGTACCTAATTCACTTTCTATCTAACTTTTACTATCAACTGAAAACTGTCTTTTGATGTCTCTCAAACTTATACACTTTACACCTCTTTAGTGAGTTTCTTTTCTGAATTTGTTAACAAGGAAAACTATAACTATCTAGTCTTCAAATCCATCAGAGACCCGAGAAGGAAATAATATTAACTGAGTAAGCAGGAAGTGCAAACAAGACTTCCAAAAATGTGAGAAATGACAGAAACAGCTGGCTGCCTGGACAGTCACCCAAGGTTCCTCTGCAATGTTGGGGCACCCATCTTTGGCCTGTAGACCTAGCATATCTGACAGACTTTTCTGTGAAGCAAGAATTTTTGAAGGACTGTCCTGCCTTGTATTGGCAAAGATCTGTAGTCACTTTCTTTTGTGTTCTGCTTGTCCCATTTGGGCAGCATACTGTCAGCAATCAAGGCAAGGGCACTTACTTGCCCAGTGGCTAAATTTTGCCACAAAAAAGTAAACTCCATAAGGAGTTTCTTCGATGTCCTTCATCTTTTCTGAAGTAGATTGGTGCTGCCAGGAGCAGATGTGTCTCATTGTGATTAAAAAAAAAAAAAAGAATCTATGTCATTAAAACATCTTAAATGCCATATCCTGTAAATCTCTGAAATGTTTGAAGACTATCTAAAATATATCTCTGTTTGACCTTGAAAACATACCTAACATGACTACAAGTTCAATTGCAATAGGTGACTAACTACTAAACTGCATTCCTTGATTAGCCTAATTAGTTGGTAATAATAAATTTCAAGGACTAGAAATTTGCATTACATTGTTAAATGAGATGTATAAGTACAATACCTTGAACGAGATTAGAAATACATGTATAGAATATTCTAACAAAATAATCTCGACTTTGTATCAATATACAAAGATCCATATCAATGTAAAAAACTAGTAGTTGCTTTTTAAAAGTAGATTCAATAATCTACCTTTTTATCATATCATATCTATATCCTCTCTTTTTTCTTTTCAGAGTAGATTCAATAA